GGTGCACCACCCTATGAATAGTACCCTCAACGGCCAGATTGTCAGTGACCAATGGCTAGCTGACATGGTTGGCACCGCCCTATCCGGTGCCTGGCACCGCCCTGTTCGGTGCCCACGCAGAAAAGTGGAGCTCGGCCCCAACAGCTATATCTCCACTTGTGGCCTATATGTATGACTCCAACCACTGAGGGAAGATAGGAGGGTGTTGCTACACCTCTTTTGTGCTCTCCACATGCATAGAGTTTAAAGATCACTTGGCGATTAGGATAGGTGCTTTGCGAAGTGATTAAGTTAGTTAGACCATGCTCATATGTGCTTGCTCTAGGCTTAGGTCTAGTTGCTAGTGAGGTTTGCATACCTCTCATCCAAAGGTGCTTGCGCGCACCATGCTTGTACTCGGTGGGGCTTGTAGTCTTAAGAGGCCACACCAACCGCGTATGTGGTGTGGCCGCCACCGTGTACCAAAGGGAACAAGGCCTGTGGCGTTTCGGCAGAAAGCTTGAAAGTGAAGACGGTGGGGAGCGGTCCGAGAGAGGCTTGCCGAAAGGCACACCGGAGACCCACTTGCATGTGGGGAAGGCCCGGGGCCTCCATGGACATACCCGATCGAGAGCTTGGCCCTTGCGAGGGATTCCTTGCGAGGGGCTCCAACGAGGACTAGGGGAAGGCTTGAGCGCTTCTCGATACCTCGGTAAAAATACCGGAGTCATCGACGGGAGTTTGCATCTCTACCTCATCTTTACGTTCCGCATTCACTTTGCTACCTTGGTTATGTGATTTACTTCCCTAACTTAGTTGATAGGCTAGTTGATAGGATTGGAACCTAGGTTGCATAACTCTTTTACGGTAGAGATAGCAACACATCTAGCAAAATCGTAGTTGCACATTTAGATAGATTACTTTCTTGCATAGGTTTTGATTAGGTGAAATTAGAGGCCTGAGCTAGAAGTAGAATTTTAAGTTGCCTAATTCAACCCCCCTCTTAGACGTCACGGTCCGTTACATAGGCTTCCTAAAATCAACTCTAAACTTTGGCCTCTAGTTTCTTCGTAGTCAAAACCTATACAAGAAAGTAATCTATCTAGATGTATAACTAAGATTTTGTTAGATGTGCTGCTATCTCTACCGCAAAACAGTATGCAACCAAGGTTCCAATCTTATCACTAGCCTAGCAAGCTAAACTAGGAATGTAAGCACGCAACCTATGTAAGCATTAAATAAAGTGCGGAAGCTAAATTGACATTAGAGATGTAAACTCCCGTTAACGACTAAGGTATTTTTACTGAGCTATCGAGAAGCTCACGCTAACCCCTACTCCTCGTCCCCTCGCGAGGATTCTATCGCAAGGCCCGTTCCACACGGAGCTGGGCCATATAAGTAGTTTTTAGACATGAGATGTTACACTATTCCTCTGAATTAGAAAAATGGAAATGGAAGATTAGCGTGACTGCCAGAGCTCATACCGACGTTGTTCGAGGTTACTGAATCCATTGGTGCAGTGGTTGTCGGATGGAGACATCTATGCATCGACATAGGCCGATTGAGGTGGTGTTGTATGCCCATTTTCACTTTGTACAAAATCATTTGTAGGGTCAGACCATGTCACCGATCATACTTGCAATCTGATTTTGAACGGCCGATGCTTTATGTTTTTTTGTAGAAATTGATTTTCATGAACAAACGTACAGCCATGATTGAAGGTGGTCAATTTTAAAGATGCTTGCTGACAGGCGGTTGGGATAACCGCTTGTGGAACTCAATTCTAACTGTCATTGAATGGCGGTTCCATAGTAGTGGCAAACGGGCCTCAAGCCTAGTGGTTGAGCTCCTTAGGTCTTCTCTAACGCTGTTTTTTTACTTGTAGCTCTATGGGCCTTGTAGGATCGGATAAAAAAAAGTAGATGCTCTGCACTTGTCATAGTGGTTTACAGAAGCTACATATGCTTAGGGAAAGAGAAGGTGGTCCATGCTAAAAAAGAAGAGGGAGAAGAAATAAAGGTGAGGCACGATGAAAGAAAAAAGTTTTTGTGTAAACCACAAGTAGTGATAGTTTACATTGTGTAAATAATAGTCTCAACATTTCCTAATCTATGTGGATCACTTTATTTATACTAGAACTACTAAAAGTGTTATCCTCCATCGGTGATGCCCTTAATACGACCCCAGTAGGCCAAGTTCGAATCCCCACCGGGATGAATTTCGAAACTGGCTTAAAAATATACAAAGAAAAGTAGCGGGTTCCCAGGGCGACGGTTCAAAAAATATAAATTAAAGTGAAGACCAATTTTTAATATAACAGTTGTACAACTGTATAATTTAAAAATATGTATAGTTATGGAATTATTTTCTATAATAGTTTATAGATTTAAAAATATGTATATACTTGATGGTTATGGAATTATTTTCTATAATAGTTTATATATTGGCATTTAGACGTATAGAATTGAGAGATACTAGTTTAGTTTAGTGTACATGTTATGATGATTGTTGTCCATAATTAGGATACAAATTAAGTGTTTTAATTTATAATTATATATTACAACTGTGGATGAGTATAATTTACAAGGAAATTGAGGGGATCAATAATTTTTATTATCTTTTGTAATGGCAGAGGTATATAATTCAGATACAAAATTTAGGGCTGTTTCAAATTATCTTTCATAATGACAAAAAACAATAATCTAAATATGAATTTAGAGTGTTTTAAATTATCTGTCACCATAGCAAAAGTAGATAATTTAGATACAAATTTCACTACTGGAATCTCGCTTTTTTCTGTGAGTGCGAAAACACACAGAAAAATGTGAATACAATCAAAAAAAAAAAATTCTGACGGTGTACCTTCAGAAAAATACCCACAGAAATATAATGACAGAAAAATCGATTTTTTCTGTGGGTTCACCGTCAGAAACAATTTTTCTGTGGGTCTCACACGCACAGAAAAATTGTGTTCGCCCAGATTAAAACTAATTTTTCTGTGTGTTAATCCACACAGAAAAAAGAAATAAACGCACAGAAAACACATGTTTTTTCTGTCGGTCTAGGTGAACTCACAGAAAAATTCATTTCGCCCAGATTAAAAAAAATATTTCTGTGTAGCCAGCCTCACAGAAAAAAAGAGTTAAACACACAAAAAAAATTATTTTAAAACAGTAGCAACAGCATATTAAAATATATATTTTCCATACAGTAATTTCTGTGATTGACCAACAATGTTTCATTCAAATAATACACAAATCAGTAGTTCATCATGAATGGAGTCAACACTTATGTCAAAAATAGAATCAGTCTGATCTATCAGCACATATATCATATATACTGATATGATATCTGGTCATCTACATGTTCAACATTAATACTACAATGAATTCACAAATATGGATATCGAAAAAGAAACCAAACTATTTTTTCTTGTTCAACCAGTGAAACGTTCACAAAGGAAGTGGAGGGCAAATTCACTGCACCATGGGATCAGGGTTCCCAGCAGCAAGAATATCAAGCAAAGAGTTATGGGGCTCTAGCTCGTCGTGCCACAGGGGTAGCTTGTCCAGGATAAAAGTTCCTCTTCACGCCATCGGCATTTATCTGCAGTGCAACCAAATTGAGTTTATTTTGAACTAAAAAAGGTTTAAGCCAAGAGAACACAATCATTTTTTTTGAATCTACAATCCATTTTATTAATTGTCAGAAGAATGTACAGCACCACACAAGAAGTTAAATGATCAAAAGTTACGATTTTCAGTTACAGCTGATTGAGTTTCACTCCGAAAGCTATCAAAAGCATCATGCTAGATATAAGTGCCAAAACCAACATAAGACAATCCATGACACCCAACTAGTTCAGGTGATTGCTACATTTCAGTTTCTGGAGGGAACTGAGCATGGAAATTTGCACAAAAATAGAGAGAACTTACACTAACTATACAGACAACCCCTCCACTAGCACCATCACGGGCCATAGCAAGGGAAACTACCTTCACCACAAATTTCTGTATATATGAACAATAGAAACATATTAGGAACATTGAGGCTAGTTGTACTCTATTCGCTTTACACAATTATAATAACCTTCAGTCATACTACTACACTAGAGAGTATCTCAATTCCAGGATCTAAGTAAGAAGGAACTTGGCGACATACCTCTGCCTCTTCCTGGCTCATTCCCTCTTTCCATTCATGATCAAGAAGGGCATAAAAGGTAGCTGGAACTGAAACGCAATTCAGAGATAACATAAACAAGTGTTGTATAATACTTAAGTTGGAGTGCAAAATATTCGGAGAAAAGGCAGCTCATGGGAAAATGGCACAACAATGAACTCAAGTTGGGAACAAAATGCTAGTCTTTGCGAATGATTACGTGACCTGGGAGGCTGGGGTAGTAGAGTTGGAGCTTTGCCAAAGCCAGCAGATCAAGATAATTCATGGGAAGTGCATGCTAAGGTGCCGGACAATTCCACTGATTGGGAAATGACTTATACTTTGGCTGCTCACTCAATTCTTTATACCGGTATCACAATAAAACAATCTAGACAAATGAGAGAAAAAACTGAAACATGGAGGAAATGATATCTCAGTCATGATTCATATTATCTAATTTAGCGGATTCTGTGACATATACAATGAGGATAGTGGATAAATGTGCTAAACATGTATATGTGTGCTGTCATAATGCAGAGAGAAGAAATGCAATCTTAACTCATAAAAACAAAATTTCTTTGTAGAACAAGGATATACCATCTGTGTTAGGGTATAATGGAATAGCCTGTGGAACCTCCTCATCAGATTCATCATCTGAAACATCAATCGCTATGCTACTTATGCCAAATGATAAAAAAATAGGGATGTCCAATATTGAAAGAACAAGAGCATTACCTTCTTCAGTACTTGTTTCACAGTCATATGTGATAAAAGACAGAGAAGCGGTTAAGGAACAGAAATTTGTGTTCGAGCTTCTTTGAAAATATTGAAGAAAGTAAAATGGAAGGATATTTTCTCTTGCAATGCCTAAATTTGTAGCCAAGGGCAGAGATGGTGCTGGTTTTCGAGGTGTGTAGTAACTCAAACTCTTTGCCATTAACCTTCACAAAAACTTTCACATCCTCATTCCCCTTGCTATCCTGTAATGCTATCTTAAAAGACCAACAACTGAAAAGTCAAAAAAACAGGAACCTCCCAAAAACAAGATAAACCAAGAGTCATTATTACTAGTAGAAACCAACCTGTGAAACATGGCACCAGAACTCTCCTGGGTCACACTTCACTGTCACTCCAGGTCTGACTAAATGCAATGGAAGTTGTTAGAGTTCTGTTAATTCACATGCATTCATTTTTCCAGGAAATATAAGGGTGTTCTGTCGTGTAAGGCCTTTTCACCATGAAGAGGATTATCAATCCAGAACTCTGTTCACCCTGGATGAGAATAATGTATTCCTAAAAGTTGCTGAAACCAAGATAAAGCAATACAAGTTTGACAAGGTTTTCAACCAATGCTCAACACAAGGTATAATAGATTTGCATTTATAGGAACTGTGATGTTGAAGTGAATAATTTGAATGCCAGTGAGATTACAATAGTGTGGTTTCCAGGTGATGTATTTGCTGAAGTTGAACCAGTGATAAAATCAGCTTTAGATGGCTATAATGTTTGCATATTTGCCTATGGTCAGACAGGTAGTGGGAAAACTTATACCATGGTAAGCTCTACTCATTCCAACTCCTTATCTCATTCATGAAGAATAGATGAAAAATAAAAAGTCCAAACAAATCCAAACCAACAGAAATTTAATATTTTGATTTTACAATCCATTACCACTTGAATCAGGAAGGCAAGCCTACAGATCTAGGTGTCATACCACGTGCGATTCAAGCACTGTTTGATCGAACTTCAGGGAGCAACAGAAGGTTTCTGTTCACTTTTAGTATGCTCGAGATATATATGGGAAATTTGCGAGACCTGCTAGTTCCAGGAAGCAAGACACAAGGTTTTAAGAAAGTACCAAGGTAAATTAGCACTTTCTCTTAAAATGCTGGAAGGGCTACCTTGTTGCAAAACAAGTAATGAAATCTTGTTGACAGTCTATGGACTACAGATGGGAAAATAATGTAAATATTATTCAGTCAATGTTGATAGTTCTGGAAAACTAAAAATATATAACAATGCTACTATAGTGCACTTGTGTTCCAAGGCTACCTAGCAGTCCTCCACAACCAAGAAAATGAACAGGGCCATTAAAATGTTGCATTAACGCATAGGCAACATGTCAGTATGCCAAAAAATAAAGTGTGAATATTTAGACATAATAGAAGGATCTAAATTGGGGGTAGTGTGACAATCCAGCAACTGTCCAAGAGTCAAGACATGAATTGGAATTCGCATAGGAGATTTCTTCTAAGGGAACAAGGCCATTGGTAGTGCTAACATCCAACTATAACATCAATTGCATTTATATCGTCAAAGAATACAATATCATGAGGAGAATGTAACCAAAGTTGTTGACTAGGTGCATTGGAGTAAATGTAATGTTAAGCCTACACAAGCACAATGTAATCACACTATCACAGCATCATGTTTATCTGATTTGATAGGAAACCTTCTACAGTTCATGAAAAGCTGAAAACCTTACAAACTAAACTTGTCTCCCTCGACCTTGTCAGTCACTGAGCATTCTGATTTACCATGTGCCACTGCTGCAATGGCCACATAAGCTAAAAATCACCCATCCCTAAATTCATGGAATTACAAAACTGAATTACACCAATCAACGAAATTTACAGAAGGAAGCAGCAATACATACTACTGAAAAACAGTGGCAAACAAGTCATCGTCTTAACCTGAACCAACCAGCCTCCCCCAGGAAACAACCAAAACCTTTCCCCAAGCAACAGACCGAGACAAACAAGGCGAACGCAAAATCGCACAAAGGTCATCTACGAACCCTAGGGGATGAACAGGTTGATCGAACCTCTCACTCTTTGTACATTGGATCCAGCATCCCCGATTAGCAGCACAAACTAGCAGACGACGAGACTGAGACACAGTATAAACAGGGCGATGGACCCTAATATCCACTAAAGCAGGCGCGATCGGAAGAATAAAAGAACAGAAGGAAAGATCTCGGTGTACGATACGAACCCCAGTACTCAAATATTACGTTCAGCATGGCTCGTAGAGGAAGAAAGGCACGCGACGGGGTCCTCAGCGGCCGGCGGCTTCTCTCCGCTGCGGTGCTTCTCGAGAGGAGCGCGTTTTGGGCTTTTGGGGGCGGCGCGGCGGATCCGGGGCGGCGCGGGGCAAGGAGGGGAGGGGCCGGGGCCGGCCGCCGGCGGGAGGAGAGGAGGGGAGGGGCCGGCCGCCGGCGGAGGAGAGGAGGGGAGGGGCCGGGGCCGGCCGCCGGCGGGAGGCAGTGAGAGGGAGCAGGGGCAGGGAGAGGAGGGCCGAGCAGGCGCGAGCGCCTGCGTGCGGCGGCCGGTGGGTTAGGGTTAGGACTTGTTTTTTTATTTATCGCGTGCATATATTTTTCTGTGCGTGCATATATTTTTTCTGTGCGTTTTTAAAGCACCGACAGAATAAATTGTGTTTTTCTGTGAGTGTTGATTTTTTCCGTGTGTGTATTATCACACACAGAAAAATCATACAATTATTCTGTGGGTTTTCATATTTTTCTGTCGGGATATTTTGAAACCGACAGAAAAAACGTAATTTTTCTGTGCGTGCCAAAAAAAACGCACAGAAATTTTTTTTCACCCACAGAACAATTCGAGTTTCTAGTAGTGTTTGTTGATTAATTTATGTTTTTTATAATAGAAAGAGATGGGTAATATTTTTAAAAAACAGAACAGATCAGATCAAATGACTATTATTGTTGTCATGATGATTAGAGTTAACAAATTATAAGCTAGAAGCTTCAGAAAATTCTAGGCTTTATATGTTTTTCTAGAGCGTCTTTTGTATATCTTAGGAATAGGAAGACACATGGTAGATGCAATTCCTCTTGAATATAGAAAAGAAATTGAAACGTACCTGGGGCTGGTGAATTCAGCTACGCCTTTGTTCGAGGTATCGGATCTGTTGGAGGGCAGAGTTGGAAGTTGCCGGTGGATCTAGCCACGGTGTGCCGGCGCGGTTTGTCGTCGGCCCGAAACAGCTACTGCTCGACAGAGGCTGATGGATCGGAGGTGGTGGTGAAGGCCGATTGCTTTAGGACGGTGCAGGGAACGAATTGAAAATTAGCAATGGCAAGAAGCACCGGGAGGGCTTTACGCGTTCGAATGAACTGGCACAGGCCGGCAGCTGGACATGAACCTGCGGTGGCTCTTCTTGTCTGTATGACTTGGTAAAGGAAAATAAAGATGAGTCAGGGAAGAAGAAGAAGATGGCCGGTGGTTAGGTGTTATTGATAAGTAGTACAATCCAGCTCAGAGTATATTGGAGGAAGGCGACCCGGGCTATGGTAGACTAGCCATGTTACTAGCCTTGCTCAATGTACTGGTGATCATTGGCTAATCCAAGGTCAACCACAAGAAAGTCATTAAAGCTGGCTATATATAATGTTTGGCTAACATATCCAACGTCAAGTGGCAGCCAATTAGGTGACCTAGCATGCGTAGATCTCAAGGAGTTGTTAGCGTCTCACCATCTCGATTTTGAATATACATTGCTGCTGTGCCGCGTACAAGGAGACTGTAACGCCCCGGCTAGAGAGTAGAAGTAGATCTATCATCTGCACTGCACTGTGCATGCAGCCTTCTCTAGATTACTGAATAAGTGATTAGTCATTACAAATGTCGCATTCTTATCTAGAAGAAACCAGGGTCGATCTCATAGGTTATCTACAACGACTATACTAAGTTGTTCTAGAAGCTAGCAGTTGTTAACATGAAAATGGTTCTGGGTGGAGAGTAATGATACCTAGCAAGAAGCAGAGCTATGCATGAAAACTTTCACAACAGCAGAAACTGACCGAGGTTGGCGACTTGATCAATAACAAACAGGAGCTGTCAGTGAGCAAGGTTGGTGGCTTTCAGATCCGCTTAGCCCTGCCACGGCTGTCGTTGGCTTGGCCTAGCTACTTAGATTCCAGTGTGAGGTCGTTAGCGGCGAAAACCACACCATACCAGGCCAGTATGAATAGGGTGCCTGCTTGTGTTTGGGAATGAAGCATATGATCCAGGCAAGGCGATGGTGATAGAGAATCTTGTCTGCGGCGGAAGGGTGATAGTTGGTGGTAGCAACAGTATGTAGTAGGCTGCCAATATGCAAGCATGTGAGGAGGACTTGTTTCTTGCAAGGTCCAGTACGAGTGACGAGCCACCAATGATGGGGCTATGGTGCAGTGTCTGTATATATGGTCATGAAAACAGTGGCTGTGGACAATGCACATCAGCTGATCCTCGTGCTATTGATTACAGGCCAGCAGGTGCCTGTACTGAAATCAGCGTCCTTTTGGGGGGCCTCTAATTTGTATAATTGAACCTGCATGATGCGGTATCTCATATGTGCATGAACGTGAGCATGTTTCCCGAGATTGTCCCGCTGGAAAGTGACTCCCTTATTGGACGCGCGCGTCGTGATGCATAGCAGCGCACGCGTCTTCCTCGTCTATCCTCCATCGTCTTCCTCCTCTCTCTCTCCCTCCATACCCTTCCCTTTGTAAGGCCACCAGCCATGGATGGCTTCAATCAAAATCCAAACCCTAACCGCGCTGCTGCCTCCTCCTCCTCCACCGCCCCGGCTCACGGCAATCCCGCCCACCGCCCGCCCCCTCCCCTTCGGATTTCTCTGGCGTCCTTGCGCGTGTGTCGCTTGGGTTAGCGACGCATGCACGCCAAATAAGAATTTGGGCCGGAAGGTAATGATTCTACCGACAGGCTCCCACGCAGTAATATATATATATATATATATATATATATATATATATATATATATATATATATATATATATATATATATATATATATATACACACACCTGTCTGTCTACATTATTATATTAAAATACAACATCGTTAAAATAAGGAGAATTTTTACTATGGTCGGGAAAAACTGGACAGCTGGTGAGGAGCGATAGGATGGCTAGAAAAGCAGGCGCTAAGGGGAAGCACCGGGAGGCACTAGGTGCATATTAAATTGGTGAGACTAGCAAAAAAAAAAAGATTCTTATTACTTTTTCGAATCTTTTTGTGTAATCAAGGGCAAAATGGTACTCGGGTCAGGGAACAGGCCGGCGTACTCCTCCTGGTCGCCGGTGGAGATGGTTCCCGAGGCGCCATGCCGGGACGCCCAGCTCTTGCATCATGTAGCTCTGGGCGAAGGAGCCGACCTGGTAGTGGATGGCATTGCGGATATTGGGGTTGGCAGAGAAGGAGACGTTGCCACCGGCTGGCGTCGTCGTCGAGGAACTGGTCGATGGTGTGCAGCCATCCGGATAGAGTCATAGGTGAAGAGGTCGTACGTGTTGATGTCATTGCTGGATGGTTTGGCAGCGGCGACAAACCTGGAGATGAGCGATGCCCTGGCGTTCGAGTACGTGGTGTACTGGCGCGGCGTGTGGATGCCCTGTATATTGTTGGACCCTTGGAGGCGGCACCAGCACCATTGATGGCGGCAGCCGCAAGCCGGTTGGTGGTGATACGTGACCTCCCTCCATCCGAAGCACAACACGACATCAGCAGTGGTGGCCATCTATAAGCGTGGAGACGAGCGCCGGGTCGGTGGCAGTCAAGAACAGCAGCGGCACGTGCATCTGGTTGGCGATGTGGGAGACAACGTGCACGATGCCCAAGGACTAGCTCCCCACCACGGCCACCACCTGCCTCTCCATCAGCTCCAAGGCTTGGATTGTGCCGGCGAATCCACTGGACTTGGTGTCCTGGAAGATGATGGTGAGGTGGGTGTCCCTGAGCACAGCGAGGTCACTGTTAATATCGTCGACGATGAGCTGGATGGCAGTCCAAGCGGACCTGCCGATGACGGAGTTGAAGGTGAAGAGCATGCCGACGGTGACGCTGGTCGGGTGCGCCGCTGTCATCTTGATTGGCAAGGCTGGCAGAGGCAGAGTAGGAGGAGGAGGAAGGTTCAGCTCTTGCTGGAGGAAGACTAGGACGTTGCCATCTCCTTCGCCTCCCCTACTCTGCTCTTCTGTGCCACCGGCCACTGCCTCCGCCACAGGTGAAGAAAGAAGAGAGGGACTGGAGGGTTGTGCAATTGCCATACTACCATTAACCGAATAAAATT